ACGACGCCACACAATTATTTACATATTCCAATAACATAACCTCATTACTGATCTGAGGGTGGAAATCTGTTGGGTTGGTACTTCCGAACTTCACGAAGAAATTGACGAAAATTAGAACATGCTCTAATTCGTCAAGAACTTGATGAATAAATTCATGGAGTTATTTGACAGCAGATTTGATGCATTACACTTGTCCAATTTCTTGATGAAGCGACTTCATGAATTAATAACCATAAAATAGATTTCTAGGATTTGTAACTATATCAAATAATATTTTGTAAGTGAAAATAGAAAATTCCAAACGCCAATATAATATTACATAATTTCAATTACAGCCTTTGTAACTATTAGACCAGGCAATAAAGAACGATTTACCCCAAAATAACTAGATTTTCGCGGCCCGGTCCGATTTTAATGCGGTTTTTTGCATTTTGTTCAGAAAGACTGTCGGAAAAAAGTCCCGCCTTTTTTATTATCTGGAAGTGGCAGAAATGCATCGCGGGTGCATAAAGTGCATCTAGAAGTGCATCGCATCCGAGAAACTTGCCAAAGTGCACGAAATACTGCAAAAATTGGTACTCGGGGGTTTTGGGGGGCGTAGAATTCGAATATGCATATATCCAGTCCACCCGACCCCCCGGGGGGGCGACTTTCGGTCACATGGATTGCAAGGTTCTCCGAATGACTGGAAAAATGGATCTCGGGAGTTTTCGACGGTGCTGATTCCGAATTTGAGGGTGAAAAATATCCTCTGTGCTCGTGGAGGGGGCGGTGGGAGGGGGGTATGAAATCTAAAGTTCTCGAAATGACTGGGAAAATGTATCCCGTGGGTTTTCGCGGGTGCTGATTCCGAATCTGAGGGTGAAAAATATCCCCTATGCTCGTGGAGGAAGAAGAAGAGGAAGAAGATAATTTTGATTGGTATTTATAGTTGTTTATTATAGTTGTTTGATAAATGAGCCCGTGTGACAATTAATACAGAAGGAATGTGCATTGAATATATTTTAAGACAATATGTATTTTAAAACAATAAATATACTTTTATACTTTAGAACAATAAATATATTTAAAAAAATTATCAGGCTTATCCTTTCTTTTTCCAACAGAACTTTTTAGATTGAGTTTCGTCCCATGATTTTCTATTAATTTATATTCATACTTCTTAGAAGATTAACGCCCTTTCCCAAAATAATCAGAAATAGTCATCGGACGCATTTGGCAGGGTCAGATTCGGAATCAGCACCGGCAAAAATCCCCGAGACCCATTTTTCCAGTCATTTCGGGAACTGTAGATTTCATACGCCCCCTCCACGAGCACAGGGGATATTTTTCACCCTCGAATTCGGAATCAGCACCCGAGATACATTTTTCCAGTCATTTCGAGAACTTTAGATTTCAAACCCCACCGCCCCCCCCCCACCTCCAAAAGCACAGGGGGATATTTTTTTCACCCTCCAATTCGGAATCAGCACCCGCGAAAACCCCCGAGATCCATTTTTCCAGTCATTCGGTGAACCTTGCAATCCACGTACCCCCCGCGCCCACCCGGCGGCCGGAAGTCGCCCCCCGGGGGGTCGGGTGGACTGGATATATGCATATTCGAATTCTACGCCCCCCAAAACCCCCGAGTACCAATTTTTGCGGTATTTCGTGCACTTTGGCAAGTTTCTCGGATGCGATGCACTTCTAGATGCACTTTATGCACCCGCGATGCATTTCCGCCACTTCCGGATAATAAAAAAGGCGGGACTTTTTTCCGACGGTCTTTCTGAACAAAATGCAAAAAACCGCATTAAAATCGGACCGGGCCGCGAAAATCTAGATATTTTTCTCTTTATTGCCTGGTCTATATGTACCATATGTACAAAATTTGGATCATCACTACTCGTACTTTTTTAGGTAGTGAAAGTGTAAGTCTAATTACGACTGAGAGCTATGAAAACATCATGAGAAACCCATTCATAAAACCTGAGGTTATTACAACATCGTCATATTCTCCAAACGAAAGTGTTACCGAATCTATTGAAGATGCTACTGAAGGAAAAACAGAAACGGACACTCCTAGCGTTACAAATACAGAATTTTTAGATGTACTCGATGACTACCCAGAGTATGAGGAAAAAAGTTCTGCTGGTATTGACGAATTTATTCCGTTCTTGAAAACGATACAAAGAAATTTACTAAAATTGAAAAAAACTCATAAGAGCAAAATGTCTGTATTAAAGAATTTAAGAGATCGCCTTTTAACTAACATAAGTAAGTAAAGTTTAACTGTGTCTAACAGAATAATATTATCTCAAATATGGCGACAATTTGACTGCTGTTTATAAGAGTCATTGTTGCCAATTATGTAAATTAAGTGCTAAAACAGAAAAAGCGATCTCAATGCCCTCTGCAATTAAAACAAAGCCTCGTTTATTAGTGATAAATTAGTTAAGATCTGTTGTGCATAACCTATTCTCTTTGATACTTTTTTAAAAAATTTGTGTCTATTTCATTTTCCAAACCGAGATGACTTACATTTTGAAAATTTTGGTCTTGCTTTATTACCTTCGCAATTTTGTAATAAATATTAATATCAAATACTTTGTAAGCAGAGTGTATAAAAATCATAACGAATGTTTCATACAAAGTTGAAATCAAACAACTGATACATACAGTATTAAAGTTAAATCTATTACCTTAGAAGGACTTATTACACATTTATGGAAACCTAAAGTGTCGGCGGAAGCTAGAGGATACAATGATGATGACAGTCACATGGATTTTCCGTCCAATGAAGGAGCTTTAATGACAATAGGATTTTTAACTTTTGCCGTCTTTTTGATAAAGTTGGTTATCGTAAGTAATTTCATATTTTCATTACATTCGCTGTTTCACTTTTTTTAATTGCGAAATGCGCACGCCAATATCCTTGGCTGAAATAATAACCTCGGAAGGAGCGGGGTCGAGCGGGACTATCGCTCTTTATCAAATTACGGAATGTTCTAGCCTTGTTTATAATATAATCTACATCAGCCAAAAGTACATAGGACATTACTAGATGGCGACTCTTATAAAATCCCTCTCACCCTTGTTGACATTTTAATTAAGCGTTGATTGAAACAATATTTCAGTCAACGAATTAAGGATGATAGACATTTTATAAGAGAGTCGCCATCTGGAAGTTCCCTGTCTAAGTTTGACTGGTTGTCTAACTATTTTATATAGGCATATAAACAATAAAGGTTCTAGTATTTACTCTAAATCATTTTAAACATTTTTTCATACGAACAGAAACCACTAACTTAATTTATGTTGAATTTTTACAACAAATAATATGAATCATTACTAATTAGGCATTATGACAGTAACCAAGAATGACTAAAATTATGTATTTATCTAATGAAATATGATTCATGGATTATAAAAAACGTATTTATGTTTATATTATAAGCGATATTGATAATATTTTTGATAAAATAAAACTAAAAAATGCAACAAACCGCCATGATAGGTTGAACACCATTCAGGGCGAATTACGTCGCATCTATGTAAATATCATTTTCTTTCATTTGTACTTCGACAATATCCGCAGTATTTATCTTTTGCTTAGTTTTGTATTTTGCGTTACCAAAACCATAATTAGGAAACGTTAGGTTCTAAAAGAAGGAAAGAAAAGAAAACTCAACAACTGCGAGTTAATAAAATATCAAAAAGACTATGTTTGTGATCAAAAGTGTATTCAAAAAAATACAAAGAACAATCCTGCGACGCATTTTTTTAAAAAAACTCGTATTGACTGACAAAGATGACATGAAAGTTGAGGAAATAATCGAAAAGTCAGTAGTAGGCTTTGTCTTTCAAATTTAACAATTAATTGGCCAAATAAATTTTAGTTCACTTCTCTCCTAATTTTACAAAAAGAAAACAAGTACCTAGGTAGTTTTTAAATAAGAGTATACTGTATTAAGTAAAAAACACAAATAAATAATAAAAATAATTGATATTTTTTCAACAACAGTCAGAGGCAACTGACAAGTTTAATTTTTCTAATAAACACTGTTAAAATGTTTCAGTTAATACGGTTTTTCTTGAAAACCATAGTTTTTTTAAATTTAAAGAGTGAACAAATTTTTAAAATTAAATTCTTTTGTGAATTAATATTATTATTTTTCAATTCGGTCAATGAAAAAAAAGTTCGGTACAATTTTAGAGGTGAGTCATTCCCAATGAACACCTTGTAGTGCTTCAATTAACTTTAAATCATAGTCAAAGAAGACCAGTAATAAACCTAGATCATGTACCAAATTTGGTTCTTCTACGGTAGTGTTGCAGATATTAATTTTTTTCGAAATTTAGAACCCCACTTTGGAGGCTAATAACTCCTCAGGGGTGCAACTTTGCATACAGGGTGTCCCGAAATTCATGCAACAAAATTTGGTCACAGATTCATAAGACAAATTTAGGGGACCCGAATTTTTTATTTTTGCCAAGTGGCCCCCTCTTTTGGAGTTACAGCCCCCTGAAGTCCGTCCCTAAGAATAATAATCTTTTTTTATATCTCAGAACCCTATTGTACGAGAATCACTACTTGGTACACAGGGGTTTTATGACATGTGGAATCTGATGGTGCTACATTTTTTGGCGGGGAACCCCCTGAAGACAATTTTTCGTGACCCCCCTTGTCTTTGGAGCCAAAAAAATTTGGTCGCATATTTAAATTTCTTAAAAATTACCAGTCCACTAGAAAGTCATTAAATTTAGAAACTTTTTGTCTCTTTATTTCGTAAAACGCAATGTTTTCGAGAAAAATGTCAGAATGTGATCGAATGCATATCGTGATTCGCCATTTTTCTCAAAAACATTGCATTTTACGAAACAAATATCAAGAGACAAAAAAGTTTCTAAATTCAATGGTTTTCTAGCTAACTAATAATTTTTAAAAAAATCAAATTTGCGACCAAATTTTTCTGGTTCCAAAGACAAGGGGGCCCACGAAAAAGTGTCTTAAGGAGGTTTCTCGCCAAAAAGCGTAGCACTGTGAGATTCCATACGTCATAAAACCCCTGTGTTTCAAATTTAGTGATTCTCGTACAACATTGTTTTGAGATATAAAAAAGACTTCTTAGGGGCAGATTTCAGGGGGCTGTAACTCCGAAAGAGGGGGCCAATTGGCAGAAAGAAAAAATACGGGTCCCCTAAATTTTCCCTAAATCTATGACTAAATTTTGTTGTATGAATTTCGGGACACCCTGTATTACTATGAACAAAATATTTGGCATCACGAAAGCGCTAGGTTATTGCTTTAAGTTTTGGTTAGAAATACACAAAAAAAAAAACAGGAATTATTATAGAAAACATATAATTTACAAATATACAGTCATATTATTTGTGTGACAAAAATTAAACTACTCGTACATACTTATTTAAGAATTATATTTTTTAGAAACTGATCCACACTTTAAAATATAAGCAACAGGTTTATGGGATGACTACAACCACTACGGCAGCCAGCGTGGTTTTCGTTAAGAGAAGGAAAAGAGATCAAGAACAAGAAGAAATTAACAAAATTTTGCAATACATCGAAGAGTTTTAAAATCCCATGAAGTTGTATTTAGTTTTATTATTTAAAAAGTAGGACATAATAAATATATAATTTATAGATACTATATTACACATTAATGTATTGCTTACTATTAAATAGACTTTTATTAGGAATTCTAACCTATTGGCTAAATTATATATACAAATGTTGGAATGTCTCTGGTTTGGGGATCTTCATAATCCTGGAACAAAAGACACTAATATTAGAGCAAGCTTCACTTTAGATGCAAGAAAATGAATAATTTAAATAAACACTTTTTAATTTTATGGCAATTTAATACAGTATATTAAGTATTAAGGTCAGTAAATGTTCTATACTGGTTGAGGATATGTTTGATCTCCAAAATGTCCGAAATCAGTAAGACACGCTTATGACGCCTTTTGCACGCCCAAATATTGAATAAATTTAATTAAAACCAAATAATTTTATATTTTAAAAACATAAACAAGCAAGTCGTACCTTAAAAAATTTACGCTTTGGTTACTATAAGACCGAATATTTATTGTCAAGCGACATCAAGATAATATTTTTGCCACAACTTAAGCTTCTTGTATATTATGATTCAAGAAATCAACGATTCAGTCTTACGAAATGCTTGGCAAGTAGGATGCACAGTCATAATTCCCAAGACGTCCAAAGAGAGATATGAGAAAACCTTCAAGCTATTTGTGGCGTGGTGTAACAAGAAAAATTTTGAAAATATTACAGAAAAGGTAATAGTAGCCGTGGTAATACTAGCCACAAATTGATTGTACATTTTAAAAACATTTAAAATTATTTAAAAAACCACTACTCACCCAACAACTACGCCACTGAAGTGTAAAAATAGTCCCTACTAAAAAAATGTCATCACCCAAATTTTATCAGTCAATCTTTTATGCCAGTGAAATTACAGGAAAAATCATATGAATATTTGAAACTTTTAACACCCTGTATCTCCGTAGGAAAGCGTCCTATCAAAACTTTTTATAGGACAAAAGTTGATTATTTTCATCGGTAGAATACGCCATTAAAGTTTGGCGAAACTTATTATTAACATATTTTTTTTATATTTTTCGGCGTGGTTAGTCAATTGTTATAAACAAAAAAATTACTCGCCGAATGGCTTTTTTTATCATAAAATGGACCAAAATAAACACTTTTTGTTCTTTGACAAAAATTTTAAAAATGCTTAGTTTCCCAGATATTTACAATTTAATGTGAAAAAAGTGACGACATCGACAAACTTTCGGAATTTTTTTCTCAATAACTACTGAACAGAGTTTAATTCTAAAAACATAATAATCGGCAGATATTCTACTTTAAGATATATTTTTTTAGTATAGGTCAATTATTTTATTGAAGGTCCAAAGCGAGTAAAAAACAGTCTTTTAAAGAAAATAACAATAACAATTAATGATTTAATCGGTTAATGCCGAAATATCCATAATTTTGCCTACATTTATAATAATTAAATATAATTTTTGCAATTATTTTCATGCTTTTTTTAATACAAAAATTATTATTTATGATTAGAATTATATTACTATTAATGTTATCCAATAACTGTTTTATTTTTCGGCACCGCTAGGTCAATTATTATTATTAGGTTAATTTTACGAAATAAAAAGCTTATTTAGTTTAGTTTTGGTATAACTTTCAAGTCAATTTTAGCCATTTATAAAACCAAAAATCGAATATTTAAATTTTACTAATTACTTGCAAAAACCTTATTCCGGCTACAAAACCAAACAAAATGATCTTTTGAATATTTGTACTGTTAACATATATCGATTAAAAAAATCATAATATTGTTTATTGTAAATATAATCTAATCCAAGATATTGTAAAGAGAAAATTTAAATTTGAAGTGTTATCATAATTTTCTTTAAAAGACTTTTTTTACGAGCTATAGACCTTCAATAAAATGATTGACCCACACCAAAAAAATATATCTGGAAGTAGAAAATATGCCGATTATTATGCTTTTTTAGAATTAAAATCTGTTCAGTAGTTTTTGAGAAAAAAAATCCGAAAGATTGTCGATTTCGTCACCTTTTTTACATTAAAAACTGTTTTCAACAACAACTTTTTTGTTTATAACAATTGACTGACCACGCCGAAAAATATTAAAAAATATGAAAATTATCAGAAAAATACACTATAAAATAAAAATAGTTTCATGCTGTAGTTTTTTGTTTTAAAAATTTAGTTGGTTGATGCCTTTTTAGGGGTGAATCTCTCGCCTATTCACAAAAACTCACAAGGAGGCAATCTTTCAGGATTTTGAGTAACAGTTTTGGCTCTAACCCAATAGAGCTGTATCTAAAATATCGAATTCTGTGTCCGCAGAAAACAACAATCAGATGACTGTTTCTTACCTAACAACAAGGGATATGTACTGTTTATGTAGGCATTATCATTATCGGAAAAAAAATTCTGAAACTAGAAAATCTTGAAAGATTGAGCGGTCATTTTTTATCTCGCATATAGGCAGCTGCTCTCTTGGCAAATTATGATACAGACATTATTACTTTGAAGGGTTTTGGAGATTGGAACAGCGATAAAGTTGCTAAAGGATATGGCGAAGATTCTGAATATGAAAATAGCGAAGAAAACTACCGCTTGCTTTATGGTTACTGCTGACGCTACGCCTTCTACTGCTCGTTCTACGATTACAATAGCAAATATTAATAAATAAACAGTTAATAGTTTATTTAAATTATAATAATTTTTAATTTATTTTAATTTTATTATTTTAGGTTATTTTTAACTAGAAGATAGTGAATAAAATTTAATTATAGTCACTAAAATCATCTTATAAAACATCTACAAAACTGCAACTGAGAAAAAATATATTATCCACAGTTCGAAAGATACTCAAATACTTATTTAAAAACTTACCCATTGTTTCCTGTTGAATTTCTACTTTATACGTCGGATTATCGTAAGCAGACTGGCTAATTCTCGTTGACGGAGGTGTTATCGCAGCTTTGTTCTGATTGTGTCTTCGGACCAGAATTAGTAACAGTATTAACGTACTCAAAATGGCAATTGCTGCAAGTATTGCAACTATTACTAGAGGCCCGTAATAGTCTCCTTTCGTTTCTAAGATTTCCGCCCTCGACAGTTTATCTGAAACCATTGATTAATTAAAAAATCATCATCATTTCTATAATTATCGAGAAAACTAGTGAACAATTTTTATACTACGGATGTAAAGTAACATATTTTACCTTGTTGAGTGGAAGAACCAAGAGCTGGAGCTACTCTAGGCTTCGTAATAAAGTCTTCCACATTACTAGTCTTAATCTTGCCATTAGTGAGATATACTTCCAACCACAACCGATATCTGGTACCTGGTTTAAGGTCCCTAATAATGGTTTTGGTAGGCGAGTCTCTCTTAGCAATTTTAAAAGTACTTTGGTCCTCTTTACCAGAATCGCTTTGATAAATAGCCCTGTAGATGTTGACGTATTTATCCTCCGGATAAGGTACCCCATTCCAAGATATCTCCACGCTCTGTGACTTAATTTGAGAGATGTCCAAAGTAACATTGAACCCGTACGTGTCAATTTCATTGGCCGTTGTGAAGTGCAGCATATTCTCAGCACGTAACTCGGTCATCTGACCCGGGAAAGGTATAAAGTAAATACCAATTTCGTACTTTGTGTTTGACTTGAGGTTTTCTAAAGTGTACCTAGTAACCGCCCTGTGAATTAGAGGTGTCGCTGTGTATATCCTGCCATCGATTTCCTTAAATCGCAACTGAATGCCATCGATGAATTGCAGTTCGTACTGGGTAAAGGCCCTCCATACTACTGTTACCCAAGTAGCGTTTATGTCCGTAATAGCCAGATCCGGATCTATTGGGATTACTGGGGGTGCGGCTTCCTTGGGCGTTTTTATCTTATATACTTTGCTGGTGGGCATGTTGTGGAGGTCACGCAGGGTCACCGTGATCTTTATGCTGTACTCGGTGTCAGCCTTCAGGTCCGTGAGATCGAACTCGAGTGATGGAGTTGCTATCAGGTCGTTTGGTGGTGCGAATACGGTGAGCATCCACGAATCCAGGTCTTTTTCACTAAAAAAATACATATAAATTGAAAATATGTATGTTACACAATTTATTGATAGGTATGAGAGTTATTACCATTTAACTATCATTGCTATTAAAGCAAAAATATATTTAGTTCATATAGGGATTCTACCTTAGAATTAAAGATAATAAGCTATATGTGGGTACACATGCCGCAAGTGGCCCATTTTTAAGCATTACGTCAAGAGCGCCGCCAGACGTACCAACCTTCCAGGAAGGGTCTACTGGCGCCGGCGACCAGATGCGTACTCATATACCTACGACCGACTCCACACATAGCGACTCTCCAACGAACACTCACCCCCGTCAACACGTCTTTTTCTATACAACTTAGTTTTCAATAAAATACTTTATTACTACCGTTGAGAGAGCGTTTTATTCTTGCTGTACAGCGAAAGCAACCCTCAAGTCAAAAGTCTCATAGAATCTCATGTATGTGAGCCGAGATATTCGAGGTCAAAGATCACAAAACCCGTTTTTTGTAAATATCTTGTTTTATTTGCTCTGAATGGCATTTGGAGTTATTAGAGAAGTTGTAGAGCATAAAATTCTCTATAAATTTGGTTTAGTGCAATAATATTTTATACAAGAAAATGTTCTTGAACGCGCCAAAAATGGGAAGAGCTTACTCATATGTATGATAACGCTAGATCATCTGTAGAATCAAAAACCTACATATAGTGCAATTTATAAACTTAATTGTCCACAAAAATTTTATAATTAATAACAAACTTAATTATTTACTAATATATAAATGATATTTATAAATTTTATTCATAAATAAAAACCCGTTTAATTTTATCTAGTTTATTTATAGGTATGTATTAATAATACATTAAAATTAAATACTTTAAATATATTTTAATAACGTTTTTATTTACCATCAGTTTATCGTAAATCTATTACAATTCAAGTTTAAAAGTGAGGGAGATTTTCTCCTGTTATTTTTACTATTAATGCATCTTAATAATCTTCATGTTCGTCATCGTCTTCTTTTTCTGGTCGCTCAGTTTGAATTTCAAGTTCATTATCATCCTCGTTGTCGGTTGTATTCAGCTCTAAAGCTTTAAGGACTTCAGGTACATATTCCCTTTTTTCATCAAGATCATGTGGATATGATGAAGTGTTCAGGCATGTTTATCCATTATGCTAACCACAATTTGAGGAGCATTGCAACCTTACTTTTCTACATCTACAGCTCGAACCACAGCATTTCTTGCAATTGCAGAATATCATATTGAGTAGTTCTTCTGGTGCTGGTGGTAATAATGTTGTTGTCATTCGTGGGTTTCATTTTGCAATACCCATCCTCATTCCTAGGGTTCTAAGTCATTTCCTAACTAAGTCTGGATATGTAGTATACACGGTTGATATGCTGTCGAGCTGCTGCACTTGTAGGTGGAAAAGATGATAATTGCACCGGTTTGTTGAATCTTGTTGATTTGATGAATTTCGTAATCAAATATTGTCAATGCTGTGTCTGATTTTGGAGCATTATACATTGCTAAAAAACACGTACCTACTCCATTTTCAAACAATGTTCCTGGAGGGCAGTTTTATTGCTGGAATACTTCAGCTGATTGATTCAAATTGGATTGTTTGTACACAACAATAACTGTCATTTAGAGCAAAGGAAACAAAATATTGTCATCTATGACCTTGAATTTCTTGACCCGCGTACACGAAATTCTATGAGACTTTTGAGCTAACTGATAAAATATAAAAATAAAGATTTAGGCAAGTGTATAGCTCATTATCTTTCATTTGGAGGTTTACCCTTTTTTTCACCTTATACGACCGTACTAATTAGAAATATTTGAGATCACATTGAATTCAGTTTTATTCATTTTAAATTTGATTAGTTTTACAACTGTAGCAGCAGTATTTCCAGTTTTTCATTCGAATGATGTACATTTTGTGTTAAGAAAACTTAATAATCCTTAAAATTAAATTTTGAAGTAATAAAAAAGGCTTTCTCATACACATAACACATAACATCTCTGTTATTTTAAAAGCTTTACCTTGTTCTCTGTTATGTCTCAAAATTCATTACAAAATGCAGATTTATTTAAACTGGTACAGTACATTAAAATAAAGACATATTGGACGTATTCATATACAGGGTGTTACAATCTTAACGCATCACCTTGTCACGAAAAAATAGAAATAAAAAATGTAGCCTATGTTTTCCAAAAGGACTACATAGGGTGTTTTTGAACCATCAATATTATTATATTGAGAAATATGAAGTAATAGAATTAAATATAAATCGGGAAAGTACTTCAGACAGATAAGTTGCAAATTCCAACTGGTTTAAAACTAGTTGGCAATGCTTATTAAAATAAAAAAATACAATTTAGGAAAAGACAGAACAACGATATAAAAGAGAGTTCAAAGCACTTGTAAATAAATAATCACCAATTTATATACCTACTGAATAAAATAAAATATATTAAGCTAATTCCAATCAAGTTTAAAAATTTTCCTAAAATTCTCATTTTATGAAGTCATACATTTTCTCTGACACCAACATCTAGGTTTACTAAAATGCGACTTCAAATAAAAGCGATTAATAACTTTTCTTTGAAATTGTTTTCCGTCCGACTTATGTACATCTAGCGTGACTTTATTTATTGTTATAATACTACCGGTTTCATTTTTTGGTTTCAAAAGATGATGTAAACCGATTATGAACTTACTACTCTATAGTCGCCATTTCTGACATCACGTAGGTATAATCCTTTGCATAAGTAGTTTTTTAGAATATATTCTTGCAGTTAATACACAATACAACAGAGAACAGGCAAAGCAGTGGTATTTGTATTAATTCAAATTGATTCGAAGGTTGGATGTGGGATAGCATATCAACATAAATCCAAAGTAGGCCGATGCAACCCATACAGGGTGTCTATTTAGTGACCCCTTTTTTGTTATAGCATTATTCTTGATCAGAGGAAATATCCCGTTTGAATATCATTGGGACTGAAAATAACACATTTTAAAATTAGTAATGTACATGTATATAGGCTGTTGAAAAAATATTATTGTCAACACATTTAAAGCAGTTTTCCTTCTAGATTTCTTTTCCACATTTTCAATGCGATCTTCTTTTTAAGTTTCCTTATGACTTGGTCTCTCATGACTATAGCCATAAATACATCCCTTTGACGTATGGGCACAACCCACTAATATCCTAAGAGAAGTTGTGTAGGGAAAACTTTCGCATGATGTTCCAATAAAAAAGGGTTTATATACTATATCCCTAATTTTAAAACGTGCCTTTTCCAGTCCCCATTGATATTCCCACAAGAGAAAATGTATATATTTGCAGTTTATTAATGAACTGTACCATTTTCAGTCTCAATTATTACAGAAAATAATTAATATTTTTGGGTAGAAACAGGTTAATACTTCTGATATCAATAATAATTGAACGAATTGGAAAGTTGGATAAAAATTTTATATAGCCATGAAATATTCCCGATTAGAATGATTTAAGAGGGCTTACAGGCACAGAAACAACAAAGTCCATAGGGCGCATTCTTTTCAAACATTCGTTATTATATTATATATTATTACAGGGTAGAAAAGTACCGATGGTCTATCTGAAGTTACGTGAGAGCGATAAAGTTAGCCATAGAAATCCATGCGATAGAGAAGGATGGCTATAATGAAGGCGTCTCATAGTCACCGCCCGTTTCGCCCTTCCACAAATAAGATCCACTTCTTATTTGTGGAAGGGCGAAATGGGCGGTGACTATTAGACGNGCGATAAAGTAAGCCATAGAAATCCATGCGATAGAGAAGGATGGCTATAATGAAGGCGTCTCATAGTCACCGCCCGTTTCGCCCTTCCACAAATAAGATCCACTTCTTATTTGTGGAAGGGCGAAATGGGCGGTGACTATTAGACGCCTTAACCATACCCATCCTTGTCTATCACATGGATTTCTATGGCTTACTTTATCGCTCTCACGTAACTTCAGATCGGTACTTTCCTACCCTGTATATCATATACATAAATGTGAACTATACTCACTCTTTGTTATGTGTGTATCGAACTTCAAACCTTCCGTGTAGACCTACTATTATATGTGGAACAGTGAACGCAAGTCGAACCTTATGCGGATCCACCGCTTCTAGAGACTGTATAATAATCTCATCCTGAGGATGTTGTCCTGGTAAACCAGGGAATGATTCTGGAAGCATTTGTCCGTCATTACCTAAAAGATATTATATTTCTTTAGGAAATATCCTCAACAACAGGATTCTATTTAAATTTTCCAAATATTGTCAGATACAAAGTGCAGAATTTTTGGTTATGTACATAAATAGTGATAACAATACGTGAAGCTGCATCTATCATAATTATTCTTTAATATTTACTCATAACAACCCCAAGTAACTCTCAAATTAGTCTGGGGAAATAATGACTGGTAGTCTACACTAAATTCTAATATGTGTACTACTTAGCAGCGATAATCAAGCAGAAAATAACTTCAATTTCTCTACGTATGAAATTATTAGTAATGCCGTTGGTAGCATATTGAAGTTGATAAATAATATAACTATTTCAGTAGGTAGTTCCTACATTTAACTAACCTGGATTTGTGGCGTTATGTTTGTTATGTGTTAAAAGTCCATTCTGCTGTGGATGTAACACAGGTCCGCTATTGACAGACTGTTGTGATGGTGGAAGCAAAGTAAGAGGATTGTTCTGGAGGGATTGGGAATTTGTTTGGAATTCTTGTAGTATTTCCTCCAACGACAAACCGGGAGGCAAATTGTCGTATATCGGTTGGCCGTCGGCGCCTTGAGGAACTATGTATGGGACCAAATGAATTTTGGGTTTAGTTATCGGAGGTAAAGCTTGATTACTAGTCGGAAGTTTCACGTTATCACTTGGAACAACGTTATGGATCTCTAATACAGAACCGGATGGATAATTACCGATTTCTGGATGCTGATGAATGAACTGGAAAATTTCTTCGGGACTACTATGACTGTGAATATTTACGTGGCTGGTAGAATGATCAAACGCTAACCCTGGTGATGGTGGATTATAATAATTTGGAACATACCGTTCTTGTTCATGGTAGACGTTATCTGCGAAACTCGGAGGAGTAACAAATAGAGAGTGATCTTTATTTGACACCTTATTTCTCGTATCTTTTGTTGGCTTGGAAATAGGATTGAAGGGTCCTAAGTAGGGTGTATCTGAATGATCATTCAATTTATCTTTCGGAGAAGTAGGTTTAGAAGCAGAAGATTTGTGAGGACTTTGGGATGACGGTTTCTTATGATAGAATAGGTTTTCATTTGGATTGATTTTTGGTTTGTGTGGTACACCCAACGAGTTATTTACAACTGCTTGGTCGTTATCCTCATTAACATAAACAGCTAATGGACCCAGCACTTTGGATGGAGTTTTTGGTGGAATTGGACCCACGTAATTGTCTGTCGAGTTGTGAGGTGTTTGTCCTTTAACGTCACTTTCCGTTTGACTGTGTACTGTTTCTGAAATAAAGTTTAGTCAAAATCCACTCCCATCAATTTCGACACCAAACTACTACTCTATGCCTCTACTGTGTAGCCGAAATATTTACAATAAGAGTGGATGTAGTCTGTCCTTGTCCCATGGTGTGTACAGTCTAATGTGTTAGTGTAACAAATAATTCAGTGCAAACTTGTGCGTCTCTCTTGTATACATAAAAGCAGTTCTATTTAAAAAACTATGTTCTATTAATTAATAATAAATATATAACACAATGATGGCACCTAATTAAAAATAAATAAATCCATACTCTCATTTACTTCAAAATACGTTCAAGAAAATAATTTGTGATAATCTGTTTCATTCTCAATCAGAGCACATACAGTCAAACAACATACAATATATAAAAAAATATTATCTTGTATGCAAATCTATATTAAATGTTTATAGTGAATTGATCTTATAACCAAAGTTATTCAATATACAAAGTGTCAATAAAGTAATGTAATAAACCTCCAGAGCTTATAATATGTCAAAATAAAAAAAAGTTTGTGTGGACACTACAAACATGCCCTCTAAACGGAATTAGAAGCGACTTTCAATCCTTCCAAAGAGAAATGAAGAGTCGATTTTTATTTTGTCACAAATCTTAACAAAATGCGTTTATGTTCAATCTTACTTAGATCCTGTGGTTTTAAAACAAAATGTATATTAGATTCAGAAGTGTGAGGGGTGATTTTTATCATAACTTATTTATTTTCAAGTTTTTCAAAACCAGACCAATGCTTTGAATTGCCGAATCCGAATCTAAAGTCAGAATTCCCAGATTAGTTCCTGTTTTGATCCTAATATCAAGAGACTCCCCTAGAAAGCGATAACTGACTGAGGTAACTAGTGATTGGAAAAACATTAGAAATCATGATCAGCGCCGCAACTCCAAAACTAGAACTATGTAATTCTGTTGGAACATGGATCTTTCAGGGGTCCAAAACTACATGGCTGTGAATTGGCAAGCTTCCCTAACTCCATTACCCCATAACCCTTAACCACATAACTGGGATGACTTGACAGAAATATTCATGCTCAGACCTTAAGCCCATAAGAGTTTCATGTCCCGAGCGAGTATTGGAATGGCGAAGTTACCCAGAATTATATAGACTTGGATTTCTGGAGATTCATTTTTTCTCAGTGTGGAGATTATACACCGTCTCAATCCCTGGTTACCGGGTTATGGTATAATAGGGTTATGAATTTATGATACAATGAGATCTTGAATTCCAATGTTTTCCAATCACTCAAGTTAGTTTGAAATATCGAAAGCTTTCTAAAGGAGTTTCTTGATGGTAGGGTCAAAACGAGAATCAAAACGGAAATTTTTTCAATTCGGATCTAGTGGATCAAAACACTGTAGGATGGTATGGTTTACGACCCACCCTACCTTTTTTGTATTACTGTGTATTGTATCATTGGCTTCGTCCGGAAACAAAGTTTGTACCAAAAGATAGAATTTTGCCCTTTCTTTTTCAGAATCTAATGAGCAAAAACAAGACGTTTTCGAAAATCTCGCTGTAAAAAACAAGAAACTAGATACAAAACTTTTTTTAATCCGGTTTGTTCTTCATCACTATCGGATTCAGTAGTGATGAAGAATTTTCGAAACATTTTTCCGATAAAAAACTATTACATTAATGAAATAAATGGAAGAATTCGTTTCTAAGTAATCTAATACAGATTTAAATAACCATATTGGCAATAAAAAAAAGTTACGCAAGTAATTACTTCTCCATATTCATGGCAAAAAATAAAAATTAAATGTTTCTCTCCCTGTTTGAAGGATACAAATCCAGAGAGAGGAAGCAGGGACACCTTTTTACATGAAAAACTTCTCCAACTCCTTAATTTTTTTACATTTACTTATTCATATCCGTACCGTAATATCTCCAATCTCCATACCGTTTTGTATTTACTCTAGCTCTAGAGGGTATATTTGTTGAAACTATCTCTTATTTTGACAAATATTATCGATAGATGCTAGAAATTTTAATTCATTTTTCCTTTTTTCTTGACACCTTATATAGCAAATTTATACAAAGTAATACTGAAGAGTATATCTTACCTGGAGAATGAGTCTCCGTGTTGCAAATCCAGTACTTACAACAGTCATCGTCTGGCACATGACCGACCATTGCAAGGCTTGGTGGACACTCCAGAGTCGGAGGCGGTAAGGCCGTCACTGGTGGGCAAATATTTTGGCATTCGACGGTGCCCATTTCACAGTAACATTTCTTATCGCATCCTGTGACGTTGCTAGGTATCAGGTCCCAGTTTTTGTACATGTTTCCTTCGTATTCACAAGAGCCATTGTTTTTGCAACGAACCTTTTCCGGGCAACAATTTGGAGGCGAAGCCACGAAATCTACTGGTATAGTTTCCCATTCTATGCAGCTGGAATCTAGAACGTCTACCCCAAAGTATGTGGGGCACTGCATCTTTAAACATTTCATTTCACCTTTTTGACATTTGCATAAAGATTCGCAGTCGTCGTTGTATTCTTCACCGTCTTTAAACATCCTGTTTTTGTAAAAACAATGTACTGAATTATCCGTTGACGTTACAGAGAATTGTAGATCATGCCCGTCGTCAAACTGTAAAGCTAAGTCAGACTCTGAGTGAGAATTTTGTTCAGAGTCTGATGGGGATGCCAAGTCACCATCCTCAACCTCTACTACATCATCCGTGTTTTCAATTTTTAGGTACTTGACTCTGTTTTTCACAAAGACAATTCCTCCAGGCAAAAGTTTATAGTAGTTCCAATCGTTTTTGTCATTGCTGACTTCAACTATAGGTAGGTTTTCGTGGTCGTCAAATTTCATATTGGAGTCAAATGTAAGTAAAATGGCTGTCATATTAACGTACCTAGCTGATAGTAGCCTAGGTTTTCCCTTTTCTTCTTCTTTTTCTGTATCATGTTCGTCTAGAGTAACGTCGCACAGGACTTTCAAACAGCAAAAATCATTAGGATCTGGTACTTCCACACATCTGTCTGATGTTTTAGTTACTGGAGGACACCTTTAATTGAAACATTTAAGGAGGATTAATCATAAATGTGATATACAGGGTGTCTCTTAAGTACGTACAGAATGGGACTTATTCTATATCTAAAATTAAGGTAATTTGGTTTAAAAACGTAGGGTCCTGACATCGTCATTTTGGAACTATATAGGTAAAAAAAATGTTCACTTATTTTTAATTTTTAGACTGTTTGAGATATTTTTTAACAAATTTTGTTATATTTTTAATAGTATAAAATAATAAAATTGCGCCTTTCTTTAAAAAAACAGTGGCGCTTCGCCCATAACGCCTATGGGTACTATCATGTTTTTTTCACATAAACTATACCCTTCTGTATTTCCCTTTATATGCTACATAAATATTCCATTCCCATCATTTCTTGCACCTTCAAATTTTTTTCGTATTCCTTACCGTTTAATGACAAAATTTATTTTCTTAATTGTATTCATTATGATATTAGTATGATATGATCAACGAGTTAAAACAAATGATAAATGGCAACCCTCGAACAAAATACACAACGCAGGCCTTCTTGTTATTATTTCTCGAATACGTTCAATAATGACGTTCAATAATGCCTTATTATATCACAACCAGCTACAATTCGTTGTCGGCGGTGTTCTCATTTACGATAGGAACTTTTTAAACTAATTGAGATGCCTCAAACAAATAATCTATCGAATTCAAGTCTGGGAACATTGGAACATATTCTAGTAGTTCAGTTACCAAGACGTATTCTAGAAAACTTTGGGGATAAATCACCAGTAAAAGTTCCTGGTAAAAATTACTCCTACGGCCCAATAATAAAATCACCAGTAATATCCACTAATTCACAGATAACTAAATTTCGTTGGACAAAAATGATTATTATGGAGAATCAATTATAGCATCTCTCGAAAAGGTAGTTGTCAGTATTTCGTGCAATTGCCTGCAAAAATCATTGACAAAATTGTAAGCGAGCATAGTCTTGTGTCAATAAGGCTTGAATTCGTGGTAAGGACATAATTTTTGAGGATTGACCATTGTAATTTATTGCAGTACTATTTGATATGGCTTCTTCCAATTCCAGTATTCTAACCGTCAGAAGTTGTCTCACACTTAGAGCTTTTGTAAATGAGTCTGACTATGAAAGTCGTTGGAGAATGTTTCTGAAGGTTTTCTAATTCAGAGTTAGATGATTAGAAAGTGTTTCAGCATAAACACATCCAGCGTCATAACAATTTCCGTTAGAAAGACGAAATTTTAATTTTAGAAACAGCTTAAATCTCTTACTAAATATAAACTACTTACAATATGTAGGTACACATCGAAATAACAAAAAAAAATATCCATTATAGCCAAAGCTGTCAAAACTGAGCCGCGGTGCATAGGCATACGCATTATTTATTAAAAAGCAACCAATTAAATTGTCTACAATACACCACCATAAACACCAACAGATAGGAAGAATGTCTCGGTTGACCCGCATGCCACGCCATTGAATTGCGGCTCTCCCTGACAGCCTTACTCATAGCATACTGAGGTAACATATAAAAAATACACTTAAATATAAGTATAAAAAATACACTTATTTAGAAAATCAAATTTGTCACTAAATGGAAAAATACGAAAGAGATATGTAGGGATAAAAATGAAAAGAATTCAATGGAGCATAGGACCGGAAATTTTGTAACATTATATTGAGTGGTATGTCCTTTTTATAAAAAAAAGACCTGATAGTACCCATAGCTCATCTTGTTTTTTACGAATTTTTTATTTTATACCTACCAATATGCTAAAAACATAGGTATACCAAATATGTCAAAAATATCTCAAGCAGTTTAAACATGAAAAATGTTAAATTAACGTCTTTTTCGTTTTGAAAATCATGTAACTCGAAAACAACGACCTTAGAACTCTATATTTATTTAACCAAAGTACTTAATTTTAGTCATAAAATACGTCCCTGGATTTCCTTGGAAAACAAATAATTGCATAGTGAAATAACAACGTAAATCTTTACAAACCTTGGTTTACAAGTGATTTTTCCAGCAGCTTCACAGGCGCATGCTTCAGTACATCCTTTATCAAATGTATCTCCCCTGTTGTAGGTCTTGTTTTCAAAGGTGCAGATTTCTAGTGGTTCAGTCTCTATAAAAAAATTTAATAACTATTCAACAGAAATCAGAATATTTCCTCCTTTAAGTTATTTTCGTATTGCTATTTCAAATCAATTTATTACACAGCCCCACAAAATAAAAAAAAGTATCGGATCTGGTATTCAGACCCATGTATTTCCATGTATTTTTTCCACTGAATCCGAATGAGCCTTCAGATTTGGCCCAACGGGTCTGAGTTTTCGGGAAAATTCTAAAAACGGGTCAAAATTCACAAAAAATGTACCTAATTTACGATCGACGAAAGTTATAAAAAATCAAATTATTCTACCAGCTCACTAGACGTATGACTTTTCACTCTTTTAATTCCAATTTATCATCATAGAGTTAGACAAGCTGGTCCAATTTCATTCAAAAACAGAAAATAGATTAAAAACGCCATTTTCATGGCATAATTCGTGTTGCAGAGTTCTGGATCCATCTTTTTGTCCACCCACCCATTTATGAATTCATACATCTTTCTATCATCCACCTATACCACCTATAAAACCCACCCATCTATCCATCTAGTTTTTGTACTGAGAGCTGAGATAACAGCCTAGAAGATTGAGAGTGCAATAAAACTTGTAGAATACTCTACTTTCTAAACAAAAGAAAACAATATCTACAAATCATTCTTATTTTTGTTGCTATAACGTGTTCTCTTTTCTTCAAAGGATCTATGCAAAGGTTTACGCTTTCGTTTAGTCCCTCTATTTTTCGTTTCTCTTTTTAACAACCAACAAAAATCGGCCATCATGTTTTCATCCCATCTTCCTTGATATCGCTGTTCTATAACCTTCATATCCTGATGAAATCGTTCGCCTTGTTCTTCGCTATAATCTCTAAGATTTTCAGGAAACCAATCCAGATGTGAATGAAGGAAGTGCAACTTGTAGTCCATCAAACATCCCAGGTCTTGGAAGTCTTTTATCAATTTTAATACAATTTCTTCGTATTTAGGACTCTTGTTGTTTCCTAAAAAATTTGTCGCTACAACTTTGAAACTAGTCCAAGCACTCTTCTCAACGCTACTCATTGTAGTGATGAATGTTGCATCCTTGAACAATGTCCGAATCTGAGGTCCATCGAATACACCTTCTTTCAATTTCGCCTCAGAAATATTCGGAAATTTTCGCCCTTTATATATATAGGGCGAAAACTTGTTGGTTGTTAAAAAGAGAAACGAAAAATAGAGGGACTAAACGAAAGCGTAACCCTTTGCATAGATCCTTTGAAGAAAAGAGAACACGTTATAGCAACAAAAATAAGAATGATTTGTAGATATTGTTTTCTTTTGTTTAGAAAGTAGAGTATTCTACATGTTTTATTGCACTCTCAATCTTCTAGGCTGTTATCTCATCTCTCAGTACAAAAAGTAGATAGATGGATGGGTGGGTTTTATAGGTGGTACATGTAGATGAATAAATATGCATATTCATGCATGAACGACTGGACAGAAAGATGTACAAATTCATAAATGGTTGGGTGGATAAAAAGATGGATTCAGAACTCTGCAACACGAATTATGCCATGAAAATGGCGTTTTTAATCTATTTTCTGTTTTTGAATGAAATTGGACCAGCTTGTCTGACTCTATGATGATAAATTGGAAAGAGTGAAAATCATACGTCTAGTGAGCTGGTAGAATAATTTGATTTTTTATAACTTTCGTCGATCGTAAATTACGTTTTTTGTGAATTTTGACCTGTTTTTTGAATTTTCCCGAAAACTCAGATCCGTTGGGCCAAATCTGAAGGCAGATTCGGATTCAGCGGAAAAAAATACATGGAAATACATGCATCTGAATACCAGATCCGATACTTTTTTTTATTTTGTGGGGCTGTGTTATTTTCATTGAAATCGGTCTCAATGTTGCTATAAAACTAGCTATTCTGTGCACTACCTTGTACAGATGTGTGTACCACTAGCTTCAATTCTAAGCCCAGTGTTTTTGTTAATTTATATAAATGATTTAGGTTCTGTTTCACTAAATACAGATTATATATGCTGACGACACTTAATTAAATCGAGTTCGAAAGATAGTGATTTGGGAACAAATTGTAATATTGTATTGAATAACATAACAAAATAGTTCTCTGAAAATTATTTGCATTTTAATACTAATAAAATAAAAAATTTGAGATTTCATAGTCCACTAAAAATTGTAATATATTAAATTTTACAGTAGATAATGAGTTTTTAAGTACCGCTGATGAAACAGTGAATTTTTTTTTCTTCATATAGGCAAAAATTTGAATTTGCATATTTAGTGCGAAATTTTTACGAGCAAACTCTCTCTAATTTATCTATTTCGTAATTTAAGGTCTGTTTTATCTATTGATTCGCTGTTTATACCGTGACTATGCACAAGTTAAATCTTGTCTCAGGTATGGTCTCTGTACTTTCTACTCAGGTCTTTGTTGCACAAAAAGGATATGTTAAGATGTATAACAGAAGTTCCTAGTCACTATTTTTAAAGATATTTTTAAAAATTTAGTTTTGGCCATCATATACTTATTTTTGTTTAAATTTATATATTAATTACAGAACGAATGGCCAGTAATAATAATGTAATTTTTGAAACTTGCAGGGTGCAGCAAGAATTAGGAGGGCTTGTCTCCCCCTGCCACCCTGACTACGCCCATATTTCGCAATAAAAGTACATAAATGTATTGTAATTAGTTAATTTCACAGGTACGTTACTAGGCAAACATGGACTGTTTTAATTGAACCATATTGTTATTCTATATTGACCTTTTTGCCTACTTTGTCTTAGTAATGATAAGTTTTATTTGATTGTTGCTATACACATATTGTCGCCAAGGAAAATAAACTATTGTTACTATTGTTATTATCCATAATAATGTTATCATTATTATTACCTGTATCTCCTGCACATACTAAAATAGAACAACAGGGATCATAAACTTCCTTCGCGCTACAGAGGGGGTCGTCAATTTTCTTTCCCCTTCTGAAATATGGACCCGAACACCTGTCCTTGCAGTCCATTTTACCATCCCTGCAGGTGCACACTGACTCACAGCCTAATTCTAATTCTTCGCCGTTTTCGTAAGTTAATCCACCTTTTTCACAAACACCTAAAAGAGAAGTCAATTTTTTAAGAAAATAGTCTTCAATTTTTTTCCTTTTATTGGAAATAAATGACACCCGTTTTTGTTAAAGTGATAATAACAACAAATAAATTAAATGTATTGTGGTGGAATTCCCTAAAACTTAAATAATTTTATGCCTGAGGATAACATCTGCTTGATAAATAAGGGGTTATTTGACGTAAGATTATTAAGAAGTTCAATATTTATATAATATACAAGACATTAATAATAATGAATAACTTCTATTAGATCCTCAAACTATCTTTGTTCAAGTAAGTAGGTATATTTAAAGATAAATGTGGAAGAAGATATATATTGCAAATAGTAAACTGTGCGCTATATTCCAACTAGTTTTCATTCAAAATAATTTAATATGCGTCATCCAGTTGTATAATTAAAAAAAATTTATATAAAAAATTGTGTGTGTAATAGTTTTAAGTGTAGAGATGTTTGGAAAAATATTAGCAATACAGAAAATGTAGAGGATCTTGTTGAGTATAGTTATATACAAAATTAAACCAAATAAGAAGGTATGTACAGAATAGTATAAAGACAAAAAATAAATGGACGAACCACAAATTGCGATAAAATCATCCATCATAAGTAAATAAGAATATAATGGCGATCCAATAGCGCCCATAAAACAATATAGAGAAGAAAAAGATAAACGAACCATAAACAGGAAGATTCGAAATACTGAGATGAAATATTTTTTACGAATGTTGAAGAAACGGAAGCTTTGATTTCAGTTATTTCTCGTCATCATGCTACACCCAGTTATGTATAAGATGATCCAAAAAACTTGTTTATTTGGTATGGCTGGATTCGGTTTTCTATAAGCTTTTCAACAAGCCCCCTCATGCCTTATGTTTCCATTTGAAAAAAAAAGTAGGGGTAGCTGGGGGTTAGGGGGTTGAAGAAAAATTAATTATTAATTAACCGAAAGATGGGAAAAAATCAAAATCAGTTAACGTGTTTCAGCGTTTTAAAAAAAAATTTACTTATTCAAAAGATATGAATTTTATTCCGTACTTTTGGCCATCCATGTATAACAATTGCGCAAAAAAATAATGATCTTTCAGTCAAATTAATTTCCTTTCAACAATGACACGTGACACAAGTGAAGACATGATTGTACAAAATGTGAAACGTCATAGGAATTTGTACTATTATTTTTATTACCAGAATCACTCCTTAAATTTTTTGCACAAGGTATTAACTTCAGTGAAAAATGTCGTTAATTTGAATACCGCAAAATAAAAAGAAGCAAATTGAAACATATTATGATTTTGTTTCACCACAATTTTGTCTTACAATATTGTGCGTAAAATACTATCCATCTTGCTTGTATATATTTGATCAACCAAGGTGAACGGTTACTACGTTGCCTTAATTTCCTAACAGATGTTGGCAGGCGGTCATGGTGGATGATATCGTCAACGTAGTGAAAACGAATGAAAGGATATCGATTTTACTAGAAATCATTTACCGTACGAAGGCAATCGCACGTTGTCAACAAGACGCTCCTTGTTAACGTGACTGTAATTAATTATTTCAATTTTAATGAGCTTAACGAAGATTACAAGAGCACCTGGTATTTTTGTATCAACTATAAAATAAATATCTTAAGGATTGTTTCATATCTAACTGCACATAGGATAATGACGCAAGAGTGACCTAGTCCAGTACAGAATGATCACTTAAAAAGTCCTGGATCAATATTTATAAATATACAAAGTGATCTATGAGTTGTAACCAAATTTTTGTTTGTAGTTTTTGCAGGATTTGTAGTAGTTAATGAATTTTTAGCATACACCATGTGCCATTGAAAGTTACTGACTCTTTCAGCACCGTGATGAGAAATATGATTTTTTTCTAGTCACTCATAAAGTAGTAAGTAGTAAGCAATGTATATTTTTGTGCTATTTCATAAAGTATATGAAAATTACACGCACACACTCTAATTCCAAGTTAACAATAATATATTTTTTTAATCAATTTTTCAATATTATTGTAGCAGTGAGTTTTCACTCAAACCGTTTGGTTTTAGTCAATATTTTCATACCTTACTTCGATATTAATAGTGTCATAACTTCCTATTCTAATTTTGCAGATTTTACATATCGTAATGGAAACGCTTTTCAATTCCTCTGCATATTTATACTAAAACAATTGAAGTTTGTAATAAAATGTACGTATATTATTATTTTTTCTTCATTATTTTTAAAACTAAGGAAAGTAATTGTTAATTTTACTGAATAATTTTTATGAAATGTGAATTATTTATCCTAATGCAGAAACTGTAACCTAAATCTAGCGTGAATACTAAACCCTTAGGAGAGGAGGAGAGGTATACAGAATCTAACAAGTTAAGGAAATAAGTGAAGGCAGCTGAGAATAATTAGACCAGACATGCTGACAACGTTAAACAGTCTTTTAAAAACCAAATTCGTTTGTGTATTAATCAAAATTGAGGACAATTCGAGCAATGTAAATCATCGGTAAAGTTAGTATTATTCTCCTTGTTGTGTTCCGAGTTTCAGTTTGTTTCGTTTTGCGTTTTGTTTTAGTTGCTGTTAGTGGTTTATTTTTGTTTGTCAAACCACTTTTTAAACATGCCAGTAAACATTAACACTGTCAGTCCCAAACCTGACAATATGTGATGGAAAAGTGGTTTTGCAAAGCCTTCTTGACGCTGTTATACAGGGTGGTCCGAATTTTATGCAGGGAACTTCGAGGACAGATAGATCTCTTTAAAATAATAGGAGTTTGCCCTATAAACATAGGTCTGGAACGACCTCGTTTTAGAGATACAGGGTGTTGAAGTTGTTAAAAAAATTGATTTTTTATTTGTATCTCCGGAATCTATCAACCGATCTCATTAAAATTTGGTACAGATAATGTATGATAGTAGACCTTGCATTCCGTAAAATATGAGCTCTAAAGGTTCAACCAGTGGTGTACTACTGGACATGGGTCACCCCCCCTTTTTATAAAATAACCTACGCCACTGTATTTTTTGCAAGCTATTGTAACGGATTTATATTCTAATGCACAAAATACGTAAAAAAGGTTACTTGAATTTTTTTCCTAATGTTCACCATTTTCAAGTTATTCATACCAATACAATCCCCTTGTGGCAGACACTTCAAACCATGTTACAAAAATACAGGGTGGTCCGAATTTTATGCAGGAAACTTCGAGGGCAGATAGATCTCTTTAAAATAATATGTGTTTGCCTTATAAACATTGGTCTGGAACAGCTCCGTTTTAGAGATACAGGGTGTTGAAGTTGTTAAAAAAATTGATTTTTTGTTTATATCTCCGGAATCTATTAATCGAACTCAATAAAATTTGGTACAGATAATGTAAGATGGTAGGCCTTAATTCCCTAAAATATGAGCTTCAACCAGTGGTGTACAACTGGACAGGGGTAACCCCTTTTTTACAAAAAAACTTACGCCACTGCATTTTCTACAAGTTATTGTAACGGATTTATATTCTAATGCACAAAATACGTAAAAATGGTAACTTGAATTTTTTCCCTAAGATTCGCCGTTTTCAAGTTATTCATACCAATATAATCCCCTTGTCCAGACATTTCTAACCATAATATTACAAGAATATTTATGTTTATGCTTAAAAGTAACTGGAATTTGTAAGCACATCAACAAAATTCTTTACACTCGTTTCCACACCACCTTAGTTCCTTACTCGTTTTAATTTCCCTTGGAAGCTTGGCCCACTATCTTTACAAATAAGGACAACTTAAATCAAAATAATAATAAATGTACATTTACCAAAGGCGAAGGGTAGTGAATTTTCACAACCTGCATATTTAGTCACAAGAAAATCCTCATGAAATTCGGACAAGATCTTTTCAACACGAATTTTCTGTGAACGTGTGGCTCGGAATAATTCGCAATAAAGTTTGTGGACCTTTCTAAACCCGTCTAAATTCCCAGTCATTTCTAAACTAAACTTTCTAGAAAACCATCTATTTGAATTATTAGAGGATGTTCCATTAAATATACGACAAAATAGCTGGATACAATGGATGGTGCTCCTGCGCATTCTGGGAGAATAATATAAGAATGGCTTAATAAAAATTATTTGGGTCGATGTATAGGTAGAAGACTAAATGCTAATGTCAACCATAATTATACAGAGGGTTCAGTGTCTTGGCCAGCCAGATTGACATATCTAAACCCCCTGGACTTCTATGTTTGGGGTTATCTGAAAAGTAAAGTTTATTCTACTCCAACAGATACAAGACCACAACTACTGCAACGAATAGAAGACGGGTGTAATGTATTAAAAGAAAACCACCATATGGTATTAGCTTCAATTAATTCCATCAATAGAAGTTGTCAGAAATGTATCAATGTGGGTGGTTCGCATTTTGAACAATTGTTGTAAATACGTAACGTTAATTTTGTTTCTTGTTTAGTTGCTGCTGCTTGGTAAATATATTTTTATTATTATTTTGATTACACTACCTCACAGGTGGTGTAGAAAGGAGTGTAAATAGTGTTGTTGATGTGCTTACAAATTGCACTTACTTTTAAGCATAAGCATAAATATTCTTGTAATATTACGGTTAGAAGTGTCAGCCACAAGTTACCTTTTTTACGTATTTTGTGCATTAGAATATAAATACGTTACAATAACTTGTAAAAATGCAGTGGCGTAGGTTTTTTTGTAAAAAGAGGTGACCCCTGTCCAGTTGTACACCACTGGTTGAACCTTTAAAGCTCATATTTTAGGGAATGTAAGGCCTACTATCATACATTATCTGTACCAAATTTTATTGAGATCGGTTAAAAGATTCCGGAGATATAAACAAAAAATCAATTTTTTTTTCAACACCCTGTGTTTCTAAAACGGGGCTGTTCCAGACCAATGTTTATAAGGCAAACACATATTATTTTAAAGATATCTATCTACCCTCCAAGTTTCCTGCATAAAATTCGAACCACCCTGTATAGCTTTAGACTTTAGAAAAGAACCTGATTTTTCTTGAAAACTGTTAGAGATAAATATGGACAACCTTATATCAGTCGAAAGGGTCGCATTTACCCATGGCAATTAACATTCATTCTATTTGAAAAAAAAAGTTTTTTAACTCGTAAGATTATTAAATGAAGGTCTCAGTATTTTCGAGTCTGAATAACGTACACGTTTTGCTCATAGATGACAAGATAGAGTAATTTATGCCAAAACGAACTTTTAAAACTGCAGGTTTCTAACGCTTACGGTTTAGATGTTATCTAGCCTAATTTAGAGAGCTAAAATCGTAATTTTTTTCAAATAACAACTGAATATCTCGAAACATCATGTACATTTAATAAACTCTACCTAATATTAACCAAGGAATTCAAAATACAGTAATATATAAGGTGTTCCATTTAAAATAACAAAGTTATGTAGCGCCCTCAAGAAATGGAACAACCTGTAACGCTAAAAATATTTTCTTTACATGAGCCACATAATTCCAAACAACTTTTATTAAAACCATTTTTTTATAAATTTTACAGTTAGAGAGTTACAGAAGAGTCCCTTTTGAGTAGAACACCCTGTATATATTGAATTTTCACTGTCGAGAGAGATTTCTCATTGTCGCTTCGACGTTATTAATCTTGTGTATAACATTCTATATAAAATCTAACTCTTTCCATAGAAACTTTAATTTATAAAATGCNAGACAGCTGAGAATAATTACACCAGACATACTGACCAACGTTAAACAGTCTTTTAAAAACCAAATTCGTTTGTGTATTAATCAAAATTGAGGACACTTCGAGCAACTGATGTAAATCATCGGTAAAGTTAGTATTATTCTCCTTGTTGTGTTCCGAGTTTCAGTTTGTTTCGTTTTGCGTTTTGTTTTAGTTGCTGTTGGTGGTTTATTTTTGTTTGTCAAACCACATTTTAAACATGCCAGTAAATATTGACACTGTCAGTCCCAAGCCTGACAATATGTGAGGGAAACGTGGTTTTGCAAAGCCTTCTTGAAGCCTTCTTCTTTTTAACTCGTAAGATTAATAAATGAAGGTCTCAGTATTTTCGAGTCTGAATAACGTACACGTTTTGCTCACAGATGACAAGATAGAGTAATTTATGCCAAAACGAACTTTTAAAACTGCAGGTTTTTAACGCTTACGGTTTAGATGCTATCTAGCCTAATTTAGAGAGCTAAAATCGTAATTTTTTTCAAATAACAACTGAATATCTCGAAACATCATGTACATTTAATAAACTCTATCTAATATTAACCAAGGAATTCAAAATACAATAATATATAAGGTGTTCCATTTAAAATAACAAAGTTATGTAGCGCCCTCAAGAAATGGAACAAACTGTAACGCTAAAAATATTTTCTTTACATGAGCTACATAATTACAAACAACTTTTATTAAAACCATTTTTTATACATTTTACAATTACAGAGTTACAGAAGAGTCCCTTTTGAGTAGAACACCCTGTATATATTGAATTTTCACTGTCGAGAGAGATTTCTCATTGTCGCTTCGTCGTTATTAATCTTGTGTATAAAATTCTCTATAAAATCTAACTATTTCCATAGAAACTTTAATTTNAGAGTTACAGAAGAGTCCCTTTTGAGTAGAACACCCTGTATATATTGAATTTTCACTGTCGAGAGAGATTTCTCATTGTCGCTTCGTCGTTATTAATCTTGTGTATAACATTCTATATAAAATCTAACTCTTTCCATAGAAACTTTAATTTATAAAACGCATTAATAGAATTTAGTTTTTATTTCTAAAGTTGAAGAAAATGTGGCAAAGAAATCAAAGTAATTGCTTTTGTATCTGAAGAATATACGGAGTCTATTTCTCTAATAATCACAAAGAGATGGAAATTTTCCAAATACGGCCCTTAAATTCTGAACCCTGACTCCAAAAGTTTATTGATCTTCAATGGCATATGTTGTATACCGAAAATAAATTAATTCCATAAATGTTACAAAAATTATAAGTACCAAGTGCTATCATTATACTTCGAAATATGAAAAAAGGACAAGAATAAAAGTTGCAGAAAACCTTTTATATTTTCTAATGCCAATATTGCAAAAACAATTAAACAACGTGTTACTGATGTACAGACCTAACATACATATCTATGTTATTTTTTTAATGAACACTGCGTATTCAACCTATTCTTACCGACACAAGGTGTTGCAAAATGTTGTTCAAAGAATTCTGGAGTAGATTCTACATCCAAAAATACGAAAAAAAATCCTATAAAATAGACGGCGTCAAAAAAAAAAATAAAAAGATATATTTTTTATTGATAATTTCTAAATTTTTAATTAGAATTCGTTTAAATTTGGGCCAATACATTTATGATATGTAGGTTATAATTTGGTATAATCGATTGCATTTTAGACTCATCAGGGGCGTAGATATGGGGGAGTACCTATTGATTTTTGATCAGAAAATCTACACCACTGGTTTTTCTAATCTATCTATGAAACCACTACTGCTAAAAAACATAGATAGTTGGTGACTGTCACTGAAAAATAACATGCGCTGTCACTATGGAGAAATAAATATTTGTAAAAACAGAAAAAAGATACAAGAGATTGATAATAATATTTCTTTAAAAATTATTTGCATGATTTTAAAAAATCTTTAATAGCTCGAAAGCCGCTCGTTTAATGATCAATGTGCAAGGGGGCCATTTTGGTCTAAAATAAATGAGGTTCCTACAAATAAAGTAATAACCAGTAGAAAAACCAGTGGCGTAGATTTTCTGGTTAAAAATCAATAGGTACTCCCCCATATCTACGCCCCTGATGTGTCTGAAACGCAATCAATTATATATACCAAATTATAACCTACCTATCATAAGTGTATTGACCCAAATTTAAACAATTTCCAATGAAAAATTTAGAAATTATCAATAAAAAACATGTTATTCTTATTTTTTTGGCAGGCTCTATTTCGAAAACGAAGCATTTGCGGACCTACGTTTTTTTTCATATTTTTGGATGTAGAATCTGCTCTTAAAAACAATATTTTGCAATGCTCTGTATATTTGGATAGAACGTGAATTTCAGTCAAATTAAACATATATAAGGAAGATATAGACAAAATAGTACTGTAATAATATATTATTAAACTAATTCAAATTAATCTTAAAAAGTTTCCAAAAATTCTCATAAAATTATGGGGAAGATTTGTCACCTTTAAATAAAGTAAAAGTATAAAAACTTGATCTTTAATATATCTGATTTAATCCACCATATTTCAATTAATTCTGGTCTAAATAAAAGAAATGGTACTTACTAAGGGAAAAGTTGTGAATCTGGTTCTTAGGAGCCAATATTTTCGAATCAAGCGAATCCACATCCAAATTGAAATTATCGTCGTCGTGTATTGTAACATCATCTGAGTTGTCCTCATCGTGATGGTGAGACATATTCGATAGCACGTTTCTTGGATTTTCTTCTTCAACAGAGAAGTTCAGAGCTCTACCTTTAGGTTCGTCAACAGCGTTGGTGGTAGTGAAAGTGGTGGTTTCGTCGTTCAGCGCATTTTCAGTTGGATTCTCAGTTGAAGCCTCCGTTAAATTTTCCGTTGTTGACATGTCCGTTGATGTTTCTATCAAGTGGTCTGATGAACTATCCGCTGAGTTGTCGACCGATGTCTCTGTGGAACCGTCTATAAAATTTGAGGTTGAGTCATCTGAAGACTTCGTAGAAGTTTCGATTACGTTTGAGGAGGGTGACTCTGAAAAATTCATGGTAGTCTCCATAATATGAGATGTCGAGGATTCTGACGCATTTAAAGTTGACATTTCCAATGAATTTGAGGTGGTAGTATCAGAAGAATTTGCTGATGTCTCAATAATTGAATTAGAGGTTGAAATCTCCACCGAGTTAAAAACCGAACTTTCCGCTGAATTTGAGGTTGGTGGCGATGGAGGGAATACTACCGGCCTGAAGGTGTTTTCTACTGAAGTTGAAGTTTCTGATGGAGTCATTGTTGAAGCTTCCATTAAATTTGAGGTTGCACTTTCCAAAGAATTTGACACATATGTTTCTGAAGAATTTAGAGTTGAATTTTCTGGTGAACTTGAGGATGAGGTCTCCATCAAACTTGGAGTAGAAGATTCCATTGAATGTGAAGTTGCAACCTCAGTTGAATCTAAGGGCAAAACTTCGGTCGAATTCGAGGATGGAATATCCATTGAATGTACAGTTGAAGTCTCAGTTGATTTAGAGACTGGAATTTCCACTATATTTGGAGTCGGGATCTCAACAGAGTGTGAAGTAGTGGTCTCTGTTGAATTTAAACTTGGATTTTGCATTGAACCAGAAGTTACAGTGTCCATCAAATGTGAATTAGAGATTTCAGTTGAATCTGACATAAGAGGTTCCGTTGAATTTGAAGTTGGTATCTCCGTTGAATTTGAGGTTGGAACCTCCGTTGAATGCAAGGTTGTGATCTCCGTTGAATTTGAAGATGGGATCTCCGTTGAATTTGAGGTTTGGACTTCCGTTGAATTTGAGATTGTGACTTCTGTTGAATTTGAAGTTGAGATCTCTGTTAAATTTGACGTCGTCATATCAACTGAATTTGCACTAGAAACCTCCGATGAATTTGAAGTTAAGACCACTGTTGAATTCAAGGTCAATACCTCTGTTGAATTTGAAACTTCTGTCTTTGTTGAGCTTGAAATTGGTACTTCTGTTAAATTCAAGATCGACGAACCCGTTGAATTGGACGTCGAAGTCTCCGTTGAATTTGAGGTTGTGGGTGATGAAACCAATTCTATCGGCCTAATAGTAGTTTCTACTGAGTCTTCGGCTGGCATTCTTAATGTTGTCATTACTTCTGGAGTGTGTGTCGTTACTTCATGAGTTTGTGGTATGGATAATGATTCAATTTCTGAAAAAGAAAAGTCTTTATTAAAATTCACGCACTTAATAAATTCCTTGTTACTTTATCAATACGAAACGACTATACAATCCGTACGATATTTCATGAGATACAATTCCAAGAAAAGAATAACCCAATAAAGTTCTATTATTGGAACTACTGCAACAATTTGCCGCCACAGGGGCGTGCTTTGATATTTTTCACCAATTCCTTTCTACCTCGGGTGTCGAATGCGGTTAATTCCAAGAAAGCGACACAGGGGTCTTCATGGAATTCTATCCTAACGAATATCGTACGGACTGTATAAGGGGCAATGAAGTGTGCAAAGCCGGCTCTGAACCAAACTAATCGCAGCACGCGTTACAACAACCCGTTAACCGATAATTATCGCTGAACTGATAATGGCTCTTTAGCATTCGAAATATAGCACGATAAATGAAAGGACGCAATGGTCAGTTTGTACATCCTGTTATACATTTTTTAACTTTCATTTTCTCTACTTAAATATGCAACCTGTTCAATGTTGCTGCTACATTAGAATTATTGCTATTATTAGGAGAAACAACAATTTGAATCGATACGAACCGGTTTGTTTCTCCGTTAAAGTTTATGGAAACGAATGGCATTGTAGATTTAGGTATACCATTAGTTATTAATTTATACAAATATTTTTATGACTAACTCATTTCATGGACCAAAGCATTTCGGGAGAGAAATATAGCAATATTCCAGCATTTTCCCATATATCTAATATAGGAAAATAACAGAGAATTAATAAACAATGTCGAACATCTCTCAAAGTGATATTAATAAGTTTAATTTTCTTCTACATGCATTACTGAAAATATAGTTTTCAACTGTAGTGAACCATATCATTAAAATAAACTAGAAATTGAAGCGAAATATTTGACAAAAATAGTACCTATGGAATAAAAAAAACTTTAAAAAGTTGTATATGCAGAGACACATAATGTCTATTTAATTCTAAAGAGAATGTAAAACAAAAATGAGAAAGGTTCTAAGTGTTATATATTTAGGTGTTTAACATTTCTTGTAGAACGCATAACATTTATCTTTCTTTAGATATATCAGCATGTTTTCCAAATGTTTCCTTTTTTAAGCTTGGAAAACATGCTAGCCCAGATCTTTAAGTAAAAACTTGCTATCTCAGTTTGACTAGAAAGGACCCCGCAATAATCTTATGGAAATTGGGTTTCTGTCAAATTGTCTGAATTTTTGATATGTTGTAGATTTTGTCATCCTGAACATGCTAGCTCAGATCTTTAAGTAAAAACATGCTATCTCAGTTTGACTAGAAAGGACCCCGCAATAATCTTATGGAAATTTACTTTTATATTCCTCGTTGACAGTCAATTGACAGCTGTCAACTGTCAATTTTGCCAATCTGGCATGAGAATTGAATTCAGCTCCCTCAAAAGCCCAAACTCTCAATGTGAAAAGAGAATATTTACTTTTCTATTCTTCGTTGACAGTGTATTGACAGCTGTCAACGGTCAATTTGTCCAATCTGACATGAGGGTTGAATCCAGTGACCTCAAAAACATTACCCTATAAGAATAATTAAAATATGTTTTTGACATCTGTAAATAGTATTGAAAATGAATAGTTTTGCAACGGGTCAGGGGAGCTTTGGCAACTCCGTAGCTGCCAAAATGTTCATTTTGGCACTTTGTGCCCATGGAGACTTTTGTTCAGGATGACAAAATCTGCAACATATCAAAAATTCAGACAATTTGACAGAAACCCAATTTCCATAAGATTATTGCGGGGTCCTTTAAATTGGCACAGTGAATGATTGAGACCGTGCATTTATAATAAACTTATATAATATATTTTTCAAAAAGTAAGGAATATTTAAGATTTGAGCTAGAATGTTTCCCAAGCTTAATTTGAGATAGCATGTTTTCCAAACGAAATCTGAAATAGCATATTTTCGTACTAAAGCGTCATTTTGTTCTTTCCAATTAAATTTTCATCGGGCATAACCAAAATAACGATTTCTTTTAGCTCTTCTAATTTATTTCTTTTATTCTAAACTAAACGTCTGTGTCAATGTGTGACTTCACGAAGAATATATTTTGTAAATAGAAATATAAAATTCCTGGATTATCATCTGTTTGCCGGCAAAACCAACCAATTTAGTAAAATAAAGGTACTTAGCACCTTGAAATAAACAATGATACTGACGCATTGTGACATACATATGTATTATTTAGTAGAAAAATTAGAATCAAGTATTGATATTTGCTCCCATTATGTTGTTCTATATATATTTAATGAAATGAAATAACTAAGTGAACATAGCAGAATTTAAAATCTCACTAATAATATTTACAATTATTCTTCATTTAGGTACCTATATAAAATAACAGAAATGTTTTGTATGAACTCGCACTAAATATTCATTATAAACTGCACTGCTTTTTCAGTTTTGCTGTATATTGAAGTAAATATAATTTGATGGATATTAACAAAATTGTCAATGATGAAAAATTAAAACATTGTCATTGTGTTCCACTTTGAACAGTATTAATGTATATAAATGTATTTTCAATATAAAATAATCAAAGGGGTTTGTCTTTCCATATCTAACTTCTATTTCCACCGCACATTCTTGGCTAATTGTGTACAAAAACTTTGCCAAAAATCGTATTTGGTAATATCAAATCCCATTCATATAGTTTATATAGGACAATCGCTTCAATAAGCAGAGTTTTTCCTTTAAACCCGATTTTTCATTTTTATACTCCAACATATTGTTGACGGTTTGTGACATAAGATTTCATCAATTCTAAGCTGTCTACAGTAAACCCATATGATTTCAATTTATCGATCAGAATGTTATGTGATACACAGTTAAATGCTTTAGTAAGATCTAAAAACTGAGAGCCTATATATTCACCTTTTTCGGAACCTTCATTTATGAATGCTGTTAGTTTCTCGATTGCTAATGTTGTTGTGCACCTATTATACAGTGAGCGGCAAAAGTATAGAATATATTTATTTAAAAATCAGATGTTCGTTATTTGAAAAATCGCTCGGACACGTCGAATTATATTTTTAGTTGCACATTTTCTGAAGCAGTTTTCATTTATACAGGGTGGCCCAAAAAAAGTTATGTAATCAAGGCCAACTTTTTTAAATGGAAACCCCACTTTTTTGTATTTTTATTCAATTCCCCATGGAATTATTATCATTTTTTATGTAACATAACAACCTATACCTATCTTAACTTTCTGTGAACCACAGCCATCTAAGATGGAAAAGTAAATGTGGTTTTATTTTAAAACCAGCAGGGTAAATCTCAGGGTAATTTTTGAAAATTTTCCAAATTCTATATTCAGACGCCATTATCTCGAAAACGGTAAAACGGAAAAAGATATAGGTTATGTTACATAAAAAATTATCAGAATTCCATGGACAATTGAATAAAAATACAAAAACGTGGAGTTTCCATTTAAAAAAGTTGGATTTGATTTCATAACTTTTTTTTGGGCCACTCTGTATAAATTAAAATTGCTTGAAAATTTAATATAATTCGACGGGTCCGAGCGACTTGAAATAACGAACATCTGATTTTTAAATAAATATATTCCATACTTTTGCCGCTCACTGTATAAGAGCAACATCAAAGAAGGCCTGGTTCAAGTCAGTCGAATTTATTTGGAAGTAATTCATATCCATGACATTTATTCAAGATTTTTTGGAATTCACGATTTCCACTTTTTTGCCATATTTTGCGATTTTTGCAAAAATTCTCGACAGACTTTAGATTTAAATTCGACTCGACAAAATTTATGAGAAGAACACTTGATCGAGTCTAGAAAACCTCTTTCTAAATTTTCTCACCCTCATTAATATGATTTTTTGCCATTTTCAGCTATTTTTTGCGTCTTTTTGTCCAATCTGTGGGGCCTTACAACAAATAGACTTCAGACTCGAATTCACCGTATCAAAATACATAAGAAACACACTTCATCAACTTCAGAAAAAAAATTTTCGAATTTTTTTAAGCTCACCAACGTGATTTTTGGCGATTTTTCACTATTTTTTGCCAATTACTCAAAATTTTGGGGGTGTTCGAGTTAAACAGACTTCAGATTCGAATCCAGCACGTCAAAATGCATGAAGCCTAATGAGTCTAATCAAAGGCACAGGTTTTTTTAGTGTGCCGATGTCATTTTTAAAATCAAATATAAAGAGTTACTTCAAAAACAGCCCGAAAATCGTCCATTTTGGCAAACTCGTAATTCGTTAAAAATTTTGTACTAAGTTATTGTATATCATTAGAACGTGTTACTGGGAAAGTTCCAAGATGAGTTCAGCTTTGGTTTTGGAGATATGAGTGATATATGTCATAATATGTGATCTCGTGTATCGAGAACATCACTTTAAATCTTTAAGTTTCACTGTTTTTTAGATGGCCTATCATCAAGGTCAAAGTGGTTACATAGGTTTTTGGGGTTGCTGATTATGAATCTGAAGTCATAATTACAAAATTCAAGATAGCGGATCCAATATGGCGGACAAAATTTTTGAAATTGAACCAAATCGGGTATATAGGGGTTTTCGGGGTCGCTGATTACGAATTCGGGATCAGATATGCAAAATTCAAAATGGTGGATCGAAGTTAACGGTCAATATTTAAAAAATAAAAAATATTCACGATATTTTTTTATTCATTGACATTTCATTGATTTATTTATTCAGTGACAC